GACCGAAAAACTAAGTCATATTTCAACTTTTATATTTGACCACAAAAATAAAAATCAAATCTTTACTTTTATATTTGAAAGAAAATATAACATATTTGACCGTAAAAGTAAAAGTTAAAATTTAACCATAATTCTTTATTGAAAATATATCGGCCCAATAATAACGGTTATTTGCTGATTTTTGCAAAAAATTGCGAAAAATATAAATTAAATAGAATAGATAGATAGATAGAAATATAGATAGAAACTTATACATTTTAGTTTCTAAATAAAATATTCGTATTTTCCACTGTTTATCCTTTAGCCTCATGCCGTCTACGCCAAGGATGTACTCGACATTGAACAATTCTCTACCGTCAAGGGTGTTAATATTGACGATTCCGATACGAATTTTTATAGTAAATTCAATACTGGCTCCGTGTCGATTTCATGGCAAAACGAAATGATGGAAACAGAATGCTTTCGCGAACTGAACGTATTCGGCGTCGATGACAGTCCAACGCCAGATTTGTTGATCAATGCGGCGCCGGTGCCGGAAAAAGCTGGCTGTTTTCCTTTTAGAAGAAAGGTTTGTAGATATAACAGGCCAATTTTCAAATTTTTAAAGCGCTATCAATTCAACCTTTTTATCGAATTATTTTGCCTTTTTCATTACAGAAGAAGCAACCGCTGCGCACCCAGCCAATACCCATTCCCGAACACTTACTAACCACTAGTCACAGCGTTTCCTCGACTACGGTTGAAAGCTGATAGAATAGAGATAAGTAGAATAGATAATCAAATGCATCAATGCGCATCTAAGAAACTGAAAACAAATACATTAATTAAAATGGTGCACACATACAAAAATACGAATACGCAGAAAGTTGCATATGAACAACCATTGTGCGTTTGGATGTTTCCGTTTCCGACATTTGGATGCCAGACTACAATATTACATATACATATAGTAATTAATACATACATTAATACATAATAATAATTAAGCATACACATAAAAACGCACGAACGTATGCAGCAAACGACACACAAACATTACTAATATACATACGTACATATAAATTAAATTTAATTATGTTTTTAAGGGTAATTTTTTGTAATAAGACGCAAAGCACAAGAGAATGATAAACTAAAAAAATACAAAAGCGTTACATTGCCTATAAGCTACGCTTATAAGCGCTAGAGATCTAACAAATTAAGAAAAAAAAAACACATTTGAAAGTATCTAATTGTAGTTGTATGTATTTTGATTGTAAATTTTTTGTAATGTGCAAAAACGAATAATTAAAAATGTGCAAACAAGTAAACAATTAACAATTATATAAAAGTGCTAATATAGTGCACCTAGTAATGGTGAATATGTGCAGTCACGGCGTGTTGCTACTTTCCAAGTAAGTTGCGCAAGTTGGTCACACTTTCATCTACTGTAGTTTGGCAATAAAACTCGCCGATGCCTGGAAATTTCACTTTTAGAAATTCGGTGTAATATTAGCAGCAGAATTGCGTACATAAATATTACTTTAATAATAAAATTCAAGCTATAAAAATATAATAGAATTTAAAACAAAAAACAAATACACCCAAAAGACTATGCCAACAACAAAAAGTTAAATAAAAAGCGATATATGTAATAATCTCAAAGCTAAAGAAAAAGAAACTCAGCTCACAACTATCGATTTACAATATTAATGTTTTTTGTAAATGTTTCCTTTTTTACAGTTCGAATTATATACAGAATCTTATATAATACATAAACAAGTACATGTCAATGATATACATACATACATACATATGTATGTATATAAACAAGCAAAAGGAAATATGTATGTAGGTACATATAAGACAATTAATTATGTTCCAAGTGTGGTAAATGTGGGCGCCAAGGAGAAAAAATACCAAAAAATTCAAATATCGTAAGATACAGTACATAAGAAAAAATACGCATGCATATATTCTCGCTGATTGTGGGCCAGTTTCGCCAGTGAGTCGATTTTTTTTATTAATCTCAGCATAACTAATAGTAGTAGCTCTGAGACTTACAAGCCATATGGTAGCGTGGGTACATAATTAAAAAAAAAAAAAACGAGTTTAAAAATAAAGTATCATTAACAGAAAAGTTTCCGAAAAAATAGTCGAACTTTAGTAGTTAAAAACAAAAAGATAAGATTGAAAAAGAAAGTTAGTTGAAATTTTCAAAACGATATAAACTAATTTGGTGTTTAATTTTTAAAGCCACATACTTACATACTAGGGATGTTTCGAATGTCATATTTTTCACATTCGCGAATGCGAATGCGAATACGAATTTTCGGAATGCGAATGTGCGAATTCGAATGCTAGGAATAACATTAAAAAAGGTATAATCAACTAAAGTCATCGTTTTTATTACATAAAAATTTTGTAAATTATTAGAACATTGAACGAGTGCTTAACCTATACAGTGCAGTCAAAGTTGAAAAGGGGCATATTATATTTCAAAAAAAGTAATTTTGCTGCACTGAACAATTGCTCACTTGGAACGCTGGCGGGTGGAGCGCTCTAATAAGCATTTGCGGGCCAGATCTGTCAATTTTTCGTATTTTAGTTTTCCACCAATCGGGAGGATTTTCTCCGAGATAAGCTAATTTTGCTTTCAGATAAGCAGTCAATTGAGCTTTAATTTCACATATTTTAATGTCTCCAGGTTCTAAATCCGAGCCTTCGCTTTCACTGGAAGAATCTAAAATTATTTCTAGGTTACTTGTAAGACTTTTAGCAGTACTTGTTGAAGGGCCATCAATGTTGCGTGATATAATACTTAACCGTTTAATGCCTGAAGCTAAAATCCGTTTACTGCCGCACCCTGGTTAGACAGACTTAGAGGCATTTCAACTCAACAACATTAGAGTGGAATCTCTATCCATGTACACGTTCGCATGCGAATGTGTAAAATGATGCGAATCATTCGCATAACGAATGCGAATGCAAATATTCGCAACATCCCTATTACATATATATGGATATAGTGCTTATCACAATTTTACACCACCAACATATTTAATTTTAGTTATTTTTTATTGAAAACATAGTTTATTCTTTAAGAAATCGTATATATGTATATCCAAGTTTCATAAAATTTCGAGCTTTTTATTCCACGATTTTTTTTTTTATATAGAGGAAATGGGTCCATATTTTAAATCAACAATAAATAAGAAATCTAATTAAAAAGCTCGAAATTTTCGAAAGCTTGTTACTTTTTTTTAATTTTTGCCTAATGTTTGAAACTTCGATTTATACGGTTTTTGTTAAAGAATAAGCTTTATTTTTATGGGTAGAATAATTAAAATCAAATATTAAAAAAGTAATAGTCAGAATTTGTCAATATGGCGGTGGAGTCTACTTGTGATAAGCACTATATATATATCGCACGTTTAATAGTATACAGAATTATTTAAAAATTTTAAATTTGTGGGAAACGCAATCAAAGTTTGATCAGTTCATATAAATGGTATACCAAAATCCAGATGGAAAGAACATATATTTGCCATTTTTCTGAAGTTTAGTCATCTGTTAGGCTTAGCATATTCGCCTTTTTAATTTTATATTGAAATCTCCAAAAAAGTAGGTTTTGAATTACATCTCTATATTATTAAACGTGCAATATATGTAGTATACTCGCATATGTATGGTTTTTCGGGCAAAATGTTTATTTATCAAATTACAAGCAAATGATTTATTACGCAAACCCAGCAAATCCAACACACCCTTTAGATAGGTGTGCCCTTACCCAGGCCTACCAATTTGGCTCAAACAGTGCCATTTCTGGTCCTTACTTTATTCAGGTGGTGCCAACATTTTTCAATTTGGCACAACGTGCCAAACTGCACTTTGGAAAGACAGTAATATTTCAATAGATTTTTGTGAAATGCATCGGGTGAACTACTTTTTCATCAACTATGATTTTGTAGTTTCTAAAGTTTTTTCCACTGTTGTACTCTATTTTAGTTTTCCACTTTTGTGGTTCGAATTTTACTGATTCATGGGAAAAACATAAATAATCTACTTGCGCGTAAAAACATTGCACCTTTATTATTTATTTCTATTTGGCACTTTTTTATCCACAATATGGCACCTCTTAGCTAAGGATAGTTGGCAGCCCTGTCCGTGCCATGTGCGTTATACATATATGTAGTTGTAAAAGCAAAAAAAAAAACATCCAAAAAAGTTTTACGGAATACTCTGTGGTGGAAGTGCTTGGTCAGGATTTAATCTGGCGCGTTCCGATAGCGTGGGCCTCACAGTTGTGCTAATCTACGACACCATCGAAACTCTTTTTCATGGGCATGTTCTTCATTGCTCGGCCACAATGACTAATTAATAGCTTAACAGATTTATGTAGGGCTAAGTAAATGGTTAGAATTGCGTTCTACCAGTTGGGGAGAAATCCAGATTCGTTGGCATGTCTGCGCAAAGTTCGACTGAAACAAAAATAAAAGTTGATCCTGTTATTCTGTGGTGCTATCTGTCATTTATTTTCGAATGCCACACCAAAAGTTGGAGGAGAAGCTAAGCCAAATACTTAACAAAAAAAAATATTATTATTTTTTTTTTTTTTTTTTTAAATACATACTACTACTACCATTATACATCTATAAAGCAAAACCGCAAAACAATTTATTATTTATTGTATACCAACATAAGAAGGAAACGCTTTCCTGTGTACAAGAACTTAGTATGTATACGAATGATCACCTGTAATAAAAATGTGAAGTAGATTATGTCATTGGTTGTCTCATAACACAATGAAAATCTTAAATTTCGACGGACGACTGTCGTTCCGACAATCGGAATAGGGGCGTATATTTCTGTGTTCGTATGGAAAAGTAGCTTATGTCGAAAGGCTGGCTTTAGTATAAATCGGCATTCGCAGCATGATTGCGAGTGACTCACTGGCGCTGAGTCGTTGAACAATTTTTTGGGAAATAAACATGCAAGAAATAGTTCCGATATTAGCAAGTCAATATTCTTATTAAGTCTCATAAAAAAAAAACAAAAAGAATAAAGGCAATGCCGCATTAAACTAACGCCAGCCTTTCGACATAAGCTACTTTTCCATACCAACACAGATGTATTCGATCAGACACAAACTGGGGCCATTGTTAGGATTAAAATAATGCATTCAAATGTGCATCACTTTATGCATAAAACACTGATAGGAATATATATATATGTATACATACATAGATGAGCAAAATGAAGCAAACTTTTATATGTGTATCTATTTCAATCATATTAAATAATTTAATTTAATTTTAATGGCAATAATGGGTATTTTTTTTTACTTTGCGATAATTTTTTGGAGTTTTCCCTGCTATTAAATTGCACAGATACCTGAGTTCCGAATATGCATAAATCTTATTTTAATCCTTCTTTTCTGTAAAAATTCTATACAAAATTCATATGTTTTTCACCGAAAAAGTGTTCTTTCTTTTTTGCATCCATTATATCCTAGAAAGAAATTTATTTAAATGCAAACATTTACAATTTTGGAAATCTATAACTATTTTTTCATATTCAGTGCAATAAAATATGTTATTACAATGTGAATTTAAAAATTATCAAATACAAATAGACATATACATACATAATATATCGCACGTTTAATAATATAGAAATATAATTCAAATATATAATCAGGGTTCAATATGCTCAAAAAATAAAAATTAATTAATTAATAAATTTTTTTACTAAAATTGCAATAATCTTCTTTAGGTTTTTGGGAATTTGATCA